CATTTTGTCCCCATAACGCTGTTGGTCCCCACAACCCCCACCCAACACACACACACACACACACACACACACACACACACACACACACACACACACACACACACACACACAAAGAGATGCCCTAACTAAAGTAACATTATTGATTATTACCCAAATTATTTTTCATCTTTCCCTAATGGTTAATCCACCAGTGAGCTCTTTAATTGAAATTATATTTTTGATGCAAAAACATCGTCATTGTTGCTATTCATTAAAAAAAGCAGAAAAAACAGTTAATACATTATTATTTTTTGATTAATATGTAAATTGACAGTGATTTTCTTCCATTCTTGAACAGACAAATTAATTTTAGTTAAAGGTTATGCTTTATTAATTTCTAATTTGTTAGAGAAGTCCAGTATGCTAGCTCGAATGTGGGTATAAAAATCTGAATTTGGGTCAGTAAATTCATAAACTTACATGTTTTTATCACTTACAGTTCAACAGCAGTGCAAAGATTGATGTTGTATTGCTGCAAGTGCCTTTGTACTGAAGTCACTTTTTTTCATCATCCTAATAATCTCAGCCATTCTCAGCAGTTCTTGCCTAACTTGTGATGTGTACCCTAGCAATTTTCCTCATATAAAAACACTAAAATCTATAAAATATTCCCCTAAAAAAGCACACGGTTTGTTGACACAAAACGTTAGTTTCCTGTGTGTGTGTGTCTGTGTGACTGTGTGTGTGAGTGAATGCATATCACATTTATTAAGTGTCACACATACACTGTACGTGTTAAACTACTCCTGCAGTGACACGTTGAATCCTTATTAGCTGCAGACGCGCTGTTCTGCAGCTAAGCCTGCACACTGACTTCTCTGTTAGTGCCAGTAAGTGAAAAGTATTTTGTCTCTAATCAATAAACACAACACCGTTATTAACAAAACTTGATCTTATATCTTTAAATCTCTGCACAGAAGGGTCACACTGCATTTTCAGGCACACACATACACACTGATAAAATACTAAGCCGATTGTTATCTGATGTATTCTGTTCTAATGTTACCACATGTCCCTGTGGCCGGAGGGCTCCCTGGAGATTTACACTATTTCTGGATGGGCCAGATTGTGGATTTCTTTCTCTGTAGTGCTCATAATCAATTGCACGGCTGCACAATTGAAGCACTGAAGTCTTTTCTTGCAGAAGATAATGATACTTGCAATCATGAGAAACCAGTTGTGAAATAATTATCAGGAACTGCTATTTACAAAATGAAGTATTGAATCCTGAGAGTCACTGCACAATGTGGCCAAGCTAGATGAAATCTGTGTTTTTTGGGGTTTTTTTTTTTAGTTTTTGTTATTAATTTTCTGGCCCAACAATTCAATTCTTCTGTGAAACGGGTCTGAATGGTAAAATATAATGACATTCATTGGGTTAGAGGTCCATTGCTGTGATGAAATCCCTCATGGCCTGGTTTTCAACAGAGACTCCTCTTCATGACAGGGATCTGTTGAAGTAAAACATATTCAGATCAAAAGTGTCTACAAAGGACCTCAGAGAAAGAAGCGTTGAAGCTCAAAGCACTGAAAATGTCAATGACAGGAATGGTGAAAGACCCAGGCCTCAATCAATCAACGGCCAGGAATAAACATGGAAAAAGTGGAGAAAAATTCAATTTGATGCTACTTTTGCTTTTTGAAGGTCTAGATATTCTGCAAAAGTTCTGTCAGGTTGCATGTATTATTCAAAAAAGTGTCAAAAAGCATTGCATTGTACTGCATTTGTGCCATCTCTTACACACATCAGAGTACCCATGGAAAGATAAAACAGCTGAAACCACTGCCATCCAAAGACAAATCATCTTAGCTCACCTTATCCTAGTCTCAGAAGAGCTGGATTCTCTGTGGAACAGAGCTCTGTGGTCAAATGAGGCATATTTCTAAAGTTTTTTAAGAAAAAACTGCATGCCAACACGTCACCTTCACTCCATGCATTGAAGCCTCAGGGCGTGCGCATATTGCAATCATTTCGGAAACAATTAATTGAGTCTAAACTGTTTCGGTAGGAAGGGTATTGGGATAGCTGCTTGTAATTTCAAAGTTGTAACTTTTGTTTTACAGTTTGATAATTGCCCTTAACACAAAGAGCAATCAGTAACTCTTAAAGTAAAAAAAAAAAAAAAGAGGGCATTCACATTCCTGACCTTAAACCAATTAAATTCCTGCAGCATGACCTCAAGCAAGCCATGCATGTGAGGCATTCCAAAAATAACAATTAACTCCAAATTGCTGAGTAAAAGGTAATTGTGCAGAATAGCTGCTATTTGCTGTTTCTAGATTAGAGGTTAGATAAAACATTTGGATGAAGATTATTTCCACTAAGGTAACTAAGCTTAACAACCGATAAATTGCTATAGCTAGTTAAAATTCACCAACACATACCTCAACACACCTACATTTCCTTCCTCATTTCAAGTGAATACAACATTTGTGATAATCATGTTGCACGCACAGAGCATGAAGCTTTTGCAGGCCTTGCATTATGTGTGCTGTTTTATTATTCTAATTGCTGGAGGACGAAAACTGTCTGCCACGACATTGCTAATGTTCATTTTAATCATGTGTGTTCTTCTTTCCAGCTCTAACAAATGTGAAATTGTGGGCCATTGACCGACAATGTTTTCAGACGATCATGATGAGGACGGGTTTAATCAAGCACACAGAGTATATGGAGTTTCTGAAAAGGTAAGGAAGCAAGGCAGCGGCAGAAGAGTGGAACAGGTCTTTGATCTGAAAAGCAATGAATGAATTACCAAAATGAATTCAGGAAAATGTGTGTGAGCTGTTTCGCAGATGATCCCTTACTCCTCCATTTTGCAAATAATTATATAACTCAGCAATTATTTCTAGTGCAGCATAGGGAATGTCATTCAACATACTAGAAAAATATCTTGTAACTGTATCACCATCATCGTTTTCAGTACTTATCTGTATCAGAGGGCCCTGACCAATAATCACTTCTCTATTGCCAAACCTATTAACACTTAAAAGACCTGCGCATGCTTTTTCGGGGTCCTGCATGAGGTATAGGATAAAAGGAAGAGGCATCAAAAGACAGCCAATGATCAAAATGCATGAGATGCAATTGCCTTTTAAATATCTCTCACTCTCTCTGCATTCAGCTTCTTTTTTACTGTCATCCACTTTGAGCTTCATCAACCCAGTTATTAAAATTATATCATACCTTCACTCTGCTGCGTGCACCCCACACTATTTTTTGTTTTTTTATCATGACTTTTTTGGCAGAGTCGGTATTTGATCTGTGTCCTCTCATCCATTCACTCTGCCACAATTTTGTATAAATCTTCCAAATCACGAAGGCACATGTTCTCTCTAAAAGACTTTTCTCCCGAGGAAACCTTGTGAATCACTGTGATCATGATCAGGTTCTGTCAGTCCTGAGAGAGATGCAGTACGAGCTATTTTAAGTATTGGGCACAGTGCACAGGAAGGAAGCTTTTTACAAGGTATTTCTAACAAGTGCAAAGCAAGTTGTATGTCAGTATGTTCCAAAACAATCAATTCTGCTGTTGTAGAATTTACTCAACTATGACTGTGCAACTTCACAGTGTACAGTAATGGAAGTATAGTTACTTTAAATATAATCTTTAGCTAAGGCTCAATGTTTTGGATAAAAACAAAATTTTTTTTTTTTAAAAAGGTAGAAAATGTTGTCTTTAACAAATTTAATTAGATGCAAATTTTGCAACATAGACACAATGCTGGTATACATTCAGGTTATTTAAAGCATATTTTCCTCAGTGAATAATTATTTGAAGAAATCTTTTTTTTAAATTTTAGTTTAAAATGTAATTTTTGAACAGGAAGTCTCTTTGATAGTTTCAGTTAAACCAAAAACATTTTGCAGCTTAACTGTAACGACTGCTTTTTTTTCCTGCTTAAAATAGGACAGTCAGTATCCCTGCAGTCACAAAGATATTGCAAGTCAGCAAAGCTTTTGAACAGCATGACTTTTTTTCTTTTTTTAAGGACAGTCTCCCGCCGGTCACTCAGAATAAATTCATTTCTTATCTGGAGTGCAGTTTCATGATAAAGCCAGACTTTAAGACAAACACAACCAAGAATCTATTTTAACCACATATGGAGCCCTATTAATATTTCATCTAAGATGTAATTTATTTTAGTGATATCGTTTACTAATAAAGACCGCAAACATTTGCAGTCCCTCTGCTGAGTATATTAGCACACACTGTTCAGTATAACAGCTCTTGCCTGTCAGGAGGACTTATGTAACAGTCCGACTGATAGACTAAGTAAATATTTAATAGGTGTACGTACTGGTTGTTTTGGGATCCCTTGGTGTGTTTGGTTTGTAAAGGGATACCTGGGGGGAGAAATCTGAGATTTATAACAGTGTTTGCAAACTCACAGCACACAGATAATTATGTTCCTGTTTAATTTCCTAGAAAAAGATCTAATGAAAGTAATAAACACATATTGGTCACCGTGAGTTTTGTGCCCACCCGTTTAACTGCTGTGAAATTATAGAATTATTCTGACAAACAGAGAAGAAGAAAAACGGGCAAAGAAAGCCCCACGTTGTGCACGGGGGAATTGAGCGCGCTTGTGAAGATTGTTTTATTATTTTTTCTTTACATGTACAGACAGGTGACAAATGAAAGGAAAAACAAAATGATATGTTTAAGTGAGATGATGAGCCAAAAGCTTAAATCTGCATTGATAATGATTCTGAACAACTCTGAATCTCTGGTACTTTACTGAAGGGATGAGCTGCATTTTTTCAGAAGATAATTCCTTTTGATGTTTTAATAATAATGCTATAGAGAGCATTGTCTAACATATTTGTCTCTGTGGATAGTCTGGTAACTATGAAGTGCATAGTACATTAATTATTTTTATTCCCATCAAACCATTTAGTGTTTTTGTATTTCTCAACCTAAGTGAGTTTGTCCTTTAATTCGTTACCTGCCTGTGTTTTAAGTTTCTTATTGAGTCACTCCAGGAAAAGTAATTTCAAAGCTTAGCTTTTTTGAAAAACTCGCCCAGCTTTAGAAAATGCACATTTCTATGAACTGATGTATTGTGGGCTTTTATTGAGATCTCTGTCCCCTTTCACTTCAGATAAAAGTCCAGCTATCAGGAAAACAGTACCTATTTGTAGGTGTTTACAGGATTCTAATAGAAAATTGTTTAAAATGGTATGCTTTATAACTGCACAGTCCCTAAAGCATGGCAGATCTACGCTTCCCCACAGGCCTTGTGTAATTACTCAGCTGTAACATAATTAAGCTGTTGAATCAGAAATTTACTGCGACAGACGCCTTTTGTTTGTGTCAACAGCTTCTCAGCTCGGGGGATTGAAACTCTCTCTGTTGCATGTACAGTAAGTGTCATGTGTTCATTGCTGAGCTGGTTAACTAGTGCCTTTGTCGGGGAAGCAGTAACACAAGGATCAGCACAGTGGCCGTGACAAGATGGTTTAGATTACTGTAATAAAGCATGGAAAATTAAGGGGGAGGGGAGATGGAGAAACAGAGAGGCAGAGCGAGAGAGTGAGACGATACGGGGAGATAAGCCCTTTGTTCACCAACGCGGGGTTATTTTCTCTCCTCCTTGATAAACATTAGGCTAGTTTTATTTAGCAGGGTTGATAGCAGGCAGCATTCATTCAGGCTGCCAGGAAGTAATGGAACAAACACTACGGGCTCATACTGGCGTATTCAACCGTAGGATGTGATGCCCAGCTGTGTAACTACTCATGCTGCCCATTTATGCTGGAAAATAGTACTAAAATACAGGCCATACAATAGAAAAATACAGATTTTGAGTGTTCCTGCTGCCTATATCTGAATTTGTTTGTTGGTTCTCAGATCAAAGTCATGCTGTGATTGAACAAAGTATGTCTAAAAATAGGATGAAAAAAATAATGATACCACACAGGAAGCAATAAAAAGCAAAAACTTGACAGTCACATGATAGCATTTAGCCAATAGAATAAAACATTAAAAAATATGCTGACAACTAACAATTTTAGAGCCTTTATTTGAGTGCATGTTTTGTGTTGGACCAATGCAGCTGTTTTATGTTCTGCTTAAAGTGGTGGAAAAACTAGCAGAAATAAAAGCAATTCTTTCCAGGAAAACTAACATCTAGTTGATGGCTTGTATAACAAGATGGATTTTTGTTTTTGTTTTTCTAGGTTAAACCGAATCATGCCATGAGAATGAAGACATTTTGATGCTTAGTTGAAAGAGAGTGTCTCTGAGCTCTTTGATTGCTTATGTGTATCCTATCAAAAGGGCACCTCAAACAAAAACAGTCTGAATCCTGGAAGTACTCCTACTCAAATCCTCTATTTCTGGTGAACTTTTGTTGATATCCACTGTTGAAACAATATGACATATTTGGAGAACAAACATTTGACACGGAGCCTACAGATAAAATGAAATACTTAACACTAATAGAACATTTAGTTTTGGCAACAAGTCATATTTATAATTTGTAATACTGTGGCCAAGGAAGTACACCCTTGGCCTAAGAAGTATTACAATAGTTTCTTCTTAAACAGAAATAACTCATTTAAGTAGGCGTTTTTTTGTGTGCATGCACCAGAATCAAGACACCCACAATTGATCTTTCACTGAGGCTCTCCATAACTCACCTTTTCTTTGGTGAATATGCTAGCATGCTTAGGATAAGCATCCTCTTGAAAAGGGCAGTTTCAGCTTCAACTTTTGGACAGATGGCCTAGCACATTATCTTAAAGCACTCTTTCATTTGATGCAAAACTGAATCAGTGAATCAATCCCTGGAGCAGCAAAGCAAATCATAACAATTTCAACACTGTGCTTGAAAGATGATAGACAGCTTTTCTCTGTGAACATTCTAGGGCTGCATGACACGTATCCACTGTACCCAAACACCTGCACTCTTTTTCAATCCCCTTACAGCATATGAATGTGTCACCTTCATGTCTGAATGAGCACCCTGGCCACTTTTCTGTAAAAGTCTGGAGAGCAGTTCAACTTTTTCACACTTTGTGTCCCTTTCAGCATGTCTGAACAGCACATAATCACCTTAAATGATGAATATGAGTTGCACAGCTCACTAAAAACGTCATTGTTCAAATTCTTTGTAGCTTGTGATAAAAGTAAGAGATTTCCAAGGCCCCAAGTGCAAGTTGTCTTTTGTACATTTAGCAAATATTGCCCTTATAGGAGATCCCAGGTGCTCTTCCTGACTGTGTAGGTATGTCTGAATGAGCCCGAATAAACCTTTCAGGAACATTAAGTTAAAGTGACTTTTCTCTCTAATGTTATTTATGTTAATGCAAATTCATGCAGACTCATTGTGATTGTAGGCACATGCAACCAACAAACCTGTCAAATGTTTCATGAAATTTTTGAGTTCTTGCTTTTTTAAAAGACATGTAAAATATGAAAATGACAACTTTATGTTTCAGGGGGGTTTTTTTCAAAGAGGATCAAGATTTTTCAAATTTATTATTTATTTTTGATCACAGCTTCCAAAAGGATATGCTTTCTTCCCTCAGCTTTATACTAAGCCTCCAGCTACACTGCTTCCTACATCTTTTTTTATCTAGAAAAAAACAGAGGGCTAATTAGTAATATTCACTATGCGTGAAGCTGTGTATTCTCTCATATAAAAGCCCCTCTTTTTCCTTCTGCAGCGTCCCCTCATTCCACGGCCTACAGGAAGATATTCTGAGCAAGCTCGCTGATGTCCTTGAGGAGGTAAGTACCTTGTTGTGTGTGACATCTGCAGCCTACTTCTGACATGTCAAATGATTTTCATACATTCAGACTCTCTTATTGTGGTGAGAGGGGGGGAGGTGAAAATGATTCTAGAGGATGTGCACAATAGAGATTATTTTGGGTGCTAGGTGGGACAACCTGTACACAGCTGGGACTTCAGAGTACTGCTGCTCTTTGGTACCTGCTCGGTGTGAGATGACTATCTAAATTTTTCACTTACTAGAGGAGGAATTTCTGGAAATCAGTCCAGTAGAAACCATTTCAGTCTTCTCACATGAAGACATATATATATATATATATATGAGAAGGATAGGAGGATCCAAGGATCGTTGAGTGCGAGAGGAGCTGACCTGAAGGATAGGATCATGGCCAAGCTTGAAACCTGGATCCCCCATAGCCGGTTACCAAGACTACGTGAAGTACCCTCAGAAGGTCTGCTAGATGATGTTAATGCAGCACTTCGGACGATACCTACACCTACCATTACCGAGACTAACAAGTTGATCTACAGTACGGCAGCAGTGATCAGTGAGATGCTTGGCTACAAGTTGAACAGCCACAAAGGGCAGTACCCTCCATGGAGAGGGAGGCTAGAGGCTAAGATCAAGGTAGCACAGAGGGAGGTTCGCCAACTATTGGAGTTGCAGAAAGGTGCGATGAAGAAGGTGTGTAAGAAGTACAGGAAGCTGTCCATACCTGAGGCCTTGGAAACTGCCAAGCAACGACTCATAGTCTTTGCCAGCCGCTTAAAGAGGTACAACAGACAGATAGGAGGCAGGAGAATAAACCAGCTGTTCCCACAGAACCAGCCAAGGTGTACTCTCAGTGGCAGGGGAACAATATGAGAACAGCACCACCAAGGCGGGAGACGGAACAATACTGGAAGAGCATTTGGGAGAAGGATGCAACACATAACGGCAATGCTCAGTGGCTAGTGGATCTGACGGCAGACCACAGCAACCTCGCTGAACAGGGTCCAGTAAACATCACAGTGGCAGACATCCAAGAAAGGGTCTCCAATATGAAAAGTTGGACATCACCACGCCCCGACATGGTTCATGCCTACTGGCTGAAGAAGCTGACTGCACTCCACGAGCGTCTGGCAGCACAAATGAAACAGCTGCTAGTTAACGAGAGACACCCAGAATGGCTAACCGAAGGTCGGACGGTCCTGATCCCCAAGGACCCCAAGAAGGGACCGGTCCCCTCCAACTACCGACCACGTGGAAGCTCCTGTCAGGCATCATAGCGGCTAAGATGAACAGGCACATGGGTCAATACATGAGCGGGGCACAGAAAGGGATGGGCAAGAATTTTTTGGAGTTTTTAGTAGAGTTTTTAGTTGGGTAGCATCCAAAGCTGACAATTATACATTTGTTTATGAAGTCTAGAAATTAGTTCCAATCAACATGACAAGCAATCATCCATGTAGCGCTGCACACAGACTAATTTTTGTTTAAACCCGTGTTTAATTGCTGTCAAACACTGAACTACTTTTAATATCAGTGTCAATTTATTGTTTCGTACCATTTGAAATTCACTAAAAATAACAAACATAACAAATAAACAGTGCATTGTATTTATTTTGAAGCCTCCACTTCATTTGTAATTATAGTCATTGTTGTTATTACTTAAAATGTAAATGTTTGCAAATATTATGCAGAAATGCAAAATTATCATACAGTAGATAATATGCCTTAATATATGCGACAACAAGCTAAGAATAATAAGAATAATTAATATTTTTTAAATATATGGCAACAATTATGATAATAAAATACAGTATATAACTGTTTGTAGGTATTTAAATGTGTGTTGATAACAGAAATATTAGTTCATGCATCTCAGCTGATAGCTGTTCAGTAGAAATGATATTTGTTGCTATAGCTGAAACATGAACAACATTGCCTTGCAAAGCAGTTACAAAGCAAATATTAACAGATGGGATAAAAATCATTCCAGAATTTATAACCTCTAAACCTAAAACTGACCTCTACAAGTGAGAAATGTAGGAAAATAAAGATGTAGAGACGATGAGACGAGAATGCACCTGTGAATTAACATTAACATCAACGATATTTTCCTTCACTTTAATATATCTCATGAATAAAAAAAACATAAAATAGATATTCATGTAATAAATAACAAGAACCTCCAGTTTCCAAAATAAAGAAACCGGTGGGATATATGACTCTGAATGGATTGTAGTCCTAACAAAACATTTCTGGAGGTTCAGAAATATGTGGAGAGTAACGGGAAAAGATTCTCCGAAACAATATCACAAGATGAAAGGCAGGGATAAATTAAACTCTAATAAAGAGTAAGGAGACAGTTTGTCTACGACAGCAAAGTCAATAAGAAATATTGCACGAATTTATAGTTTACAAGAAAAAAAAGATGGAAAAATTGAAAATATCAAGGTCCAGTACGGTTTTGAGTTTTCTTCCCTTGTGACTGCAGCTGTTGACTTTACAAATGTTTTGCTAATAAAATTTTAGGTTTGGCACTGATTTTTATACCAGACACCCCTCCTGATGCTATCCATTTATCTGGGCTGCACCAGCAGTCAGAGCACACTGTTTGTGAACTTGGGACCTTTTATGTGCTAGCTAAACATTCTAACTATCAAAATACATTCAACTTTCACATCTATTTATGCTGCTATATTTTTGTCTAAGGAATGCTGGATAAATAAAATGGTGAGGAAACCTGTGAAAGTTGGCAAAAACATTGTGTGCTTCCATAGTGTAAAAGGTTAGCATGTTCACCTCATAAGCAAAAGGTATGATTCACAGTTGGGAGGAAGCACAAAGCCAACTTTGTGCAGGGGGTAACAAGCTAGTGTACAACCCAGGCTGTCCCAAGCCTGGATAAATGGGAGGGTTTCATCTGGTGTAAAAATATGTGCCAAATCAAATATGCAGATCAGCCTGCTGCTGGAAATAAAAAAGCACATGGAAAGACGTTTCTGCTTGTTGATACAGAATTTTATGGCTAACCTCGCAGGAATGTTGTACTTAGGTGAACAATAAAAAAAATCAGGTTCTAAAGCAAAGCTAGCAACAAGTTAAGAAAGCTCAAAATTCTATTGAATCATATCAACTTAATATTTTGTGTTTTATTTATTTATTTTTACAGTGTACAGTGTATAAACAGAAAGAAATGCTGCTAGGATTAACGCTACAGACAGCAGTCTTGATTTGATCAAGAATAACTATTTTGAAATGTAGTTATTTACACCATATTTAAATTGAAAACCAAGCCTATGTGGTGACAGGTGGCACATCTGTGGTGATCCACGCAGCCTTGTCAAAGAACCTTTCCATCTCTTTGATCAAATCACAACTATGTAACAGGCACAAACTGTCTTGCTACCATTTTAAATTATGTGTCATATTTCATTTGGCCCATTCAGGCCAAAGCAAATATCATATTTCACTGGGTCACATATTGATTAAATCAATTATCCTGCCCTACCGCTTAGACTAGTTATGAAAGATTGTTTTGGTTCATGACTGAGCTTTGGTTATTTGGATCTATTTCTTTTTTTCATCTCAACAATAATAAATAAACCTGAACTAACCGACGCATAACGACTTCAACATGCTGCGGACTACAAACTGTTTTCAAATGAAACACAGCAGACAGGAATGTCGCTGCTTAGTGTAAGGCGTTAGGCACCTTTCCTGGGTAAAATTGTGTGAGAATGAAAATCTGGCAAATGTCAGTCCCACTGTGGAGTCTATTTATGATCTAACAGGAACTATTGAGCTCTGTCTTTTGTCTAGACTTGTGGCCAGATGTGCAGCATTGTGTGTATTTTGCTGGAGAAACAGTTTATTGTCCTTCTGTTATTGTTCTGGATCATACAGCAAACATCATAATTTGATATTCAATTATTTCCATGATGCCAACTGTTATATAAAGTATTTAGTATAACCTAAGAAACTAGCCTTGGAGAAGAAGCATTATCTTCCTCTAGAGGTTTTCAACACAAGCCATGAACGTGAGTGTGAAAGTCCAACCATTCCAGCACCCACAACCCTGAATAGGATTACCAGGTGTAGAAAAAATGTGATTAATGGACGGATATTCTGTATTAATTTTTTTCTCAGGAAGGAAATGTGATTTCCCTTCATATTCACTGCAGAAACATTCATTTATTCATTCATTTTCTTTACCTGCTTATTCATATTCAAGGTCACAGAGCATATCCAAGCAAGTAGTGGGTGGAAAGAAGCAAAATACCCTGGATAGTTTGCCAATCTGTGATTTTTAACAAGAAAAAAGATATCTAATTGTGATTTATATCACTGCACCCAATTCAGGTTTTCCTCCTCTGAAGAGTACTTTTTGTCTCTGGTGAGAGTGTTTCACTTCCAGTATAAGAAAAGAGACAAATTAATTACATTGAACCTGAACTTCACTTC